ATAATGACTCCTTAGCTGAACGGTTGATTTAATTATTTAAAACTTATTATGAAAAATTTAGGAGAGAAAATGAAAAGTTGGCGAACAGCATGAAGTCTTTGTCAAATTAAAAACTGTTCTATCTGCTTTTTCCATAGCAAATCAAATTCCTTCCCCATAAAATCATTTAACCTAATGTGGCCTGGTAGTGTTCCTTCTAATATTGCCTCTTTTATTTTTGGGGCAAGAAAATTTAAACGTAAAATTCTACTGATGTACTTGGGGCACGAAACATTATATGCTCGACCCAATTCTCTTGCGTTCGCATATTCTCCATCCTCTATTTGACTCTTCCACAGGTGTGCCTTCACTAATGCATTTAGTAATTTATCATTTTTTCTTGTCTTTACTTCACCCTCGAAGATCATACTCCTTCCACTTTTTTTCCTCAATTTTAGTTCAACAAAGGTTGAGATATTTTCTTCGCTTGCTTCTATTATTGCATTTGTTTCTTTGTACTTATCTACCAAACTTTTTAGCCCATTCCCACTTATATCTATTTTTATTCCATTTTCCTTTAGCCAAATAGTTTTTATCACTTGCTTCATTATGTTTTGCTGCTCTATTGGAAAGATATTTTTCCAGCTACTATTAATTTTTCTCAAAGTTTCTATAGCTATTTTTCTTCCTTTTTTCATAATCCTTTCAATCAATTCATTGTTACCCATTATTGCAGTCACTTGTTCCATTATTACTTGTTCTATTTCCCCAGCCGCTATTGTCTGATCTTTTGCTGTGCAACCTTTACCTCTTATATGATTACCGCATACGTAGTATCTATATTCTCTATTTTTCTTTTTCGCATGAGTTGGCTTCATTGATGTATCACATTCATAGCAACGTATTAATCCTTTCAGCAAGGCAGGTTCTCTTTTTGCTTTTATGTATTCTCTGGTTTTTATCTTTTCTTTTACTTTGTTCCACAATTTCTCATCTATTATCCCTTCGTGTTGTCCTTCGTATAATGTGCCCTTATGCCTTACTTTCCCTATATATGTTGCATTAGTTAGAATTCTTTTCACTGTTGCTCTTTTAAATTCTTCTCCTTCTTTTGTTCTATAACCTTTCGTATTTAGCTTTTTAGTCACAGCAATTATAGATTTTAACTCTATGAAACTTTCGAAAATATATTCTACTGTCTTTGCTTCTTCTTCCTTTATCACTAACTTCTTATCTTTTATGTCATAGCCAAGAGGAATTGCTCCTCCCATCCATAGCCCTTTCTTTTTTGATGTGTCAATCTTATCTCTTATTCTATCTCCTGCTATTTCTCTTTCGAATTGAGCAAAGCTTAGTATTACATTCAGCATTAATCTGCCCAAAGAGTTTTCAGTATTAAGTGGTTCCGTTACAGATACAAATGTTACATTGTATTCATCAAAGAATTTTACTATTCCTGCAAAATCAAATAATGATCTGGATAACCGATCTACCTTATATACCACTACTAAATCTACCCTTCTAGTTTCTATGTCTCTAAACAATTCTTTCAATCCTGGTCTTTCTATATTACCACCTGAATAGCCTCCATCTTCATACCTTTTATCTACTATTTCCCATCCTTTAAGTTGCTGGCTTTTAACATAACTTTCTCCGGCAAAACGCTGTGCATCTAAGCTATTAAATTCTTGCTCAAGTCCATCTTCACACGATTTTCTAGTGTATATTGCGCACTTTGCCATTACTATCTCCTCTTTTTAGTCCAAAAAACGCTAAGCCATTCCAATTTGTTCCTGTTATTTTGTCAGCTATTGCTGATAGTGATTTATAACTTTGTCCTCTATAGATAAAATCTTGCTCACCCACTATTACTTCATGTTCCTCACCATGATACTCCTTGACAATTCTTGTTCCGACGATAGGACGATTACCTCTACTAACTTTTTTACCCTTTCTCATTTGATCTGCCATATTATCCAGGTCTCTTACTGATTTCTCTGATAAGCTTCCATATGCTACTTCTTGCAATTTATATGCTATCTGAGGTATTAATACCTTTTTTGCATGTGGTGGTGGATTTGTGTTGAATAAACTTTTCCATATCTCTCTTAGCTCCAATAATGTTTTACTTGCTAATGATAATATTTCTTGTTCTACAGATTTTTTCATTGCTCCCCCTTTTTGTTTTTAACATGTTTTTTCTCTTGCTCTGCATTCATAAAACTTGCTATTGTCGTTGCATAACCGCACCATTTCCCATTTTCAACTGAAAACTCCACCGGTTTGATATCGTTAAAAAAAATATCACGCTCTTCAAATAAGCACAGTATCTCTGCCAACTCCTCAGCTGATCTTGTCAGGCAATCGAGTGTGTAAAAAAGTACATAGTTTACTTCACAAGCTTCTATATCTTTAAACAACTCCTTCATTCCTGGTCTTGCTAATGCTGACACGCTTTCATCACAAGAATCATCATATCTTTTTTTCAATACTTTCCAGCCTCTTTTAACTGCAAAGTCTTGGCATGCTAACCTTTGTCTTTCTGTACTTATTAGATTATTTTTATTTGTGTAAATTGCACATTTATACATAAAAACCTCCCAAATTATTGCCTATTTTACGCCAGATAAATTTCTTTTATTTACTGCTATTACTTGATTATGCTCTATCTATGCGAGTAAAGTAAAGTCATTATTACAATCAAAGATGGAGTATTATCTGTTTTTTAACATGTGCTACAATATTAACTTATATCATTAATATGATAACAAATGGGCTGTTCATTGCTCCAAGATCTATTTAGATGCTTGTGCTCGTGCCAGGTCAAAACTCCTGGATAAAATACTAATATGTGGTTTGCTAGTTCATGAATTGAATCTTTTTG